TGGCAATGCTATCAATACAACTTCTTAAGTTATTTAACTGCACTTGAAAACAGTAATTATACAAGTCCCCATTTAAAGATGTGTGCCACTACACAAATCCCCTTTATCATATAGCTAGAGGCCTGGCGCGCACGAAATCTTGTGTGGTTAGGGTTCCTAGGCCTAGCCTGGCCTGTCACATGGCCTCTGCTGCCCTGCAAGCTAAGTGAAGCTCTGCACCCCAGGATGCTCTGTGATGCTTGTGGCCCCTTTACTGCTCTGTGAATCCCACGACTGCTCTGCAAGGCTCCCCCCACCCCTTGACTGCTCTGCGAAGTCTGCTGCCGCCCCAGGAAGCTCACCGCTGGATGATCCATGAAACTCCCCCTGCCATGCCACTGCTCTGTGAGGCTCCCCCGCCCCACGACTGCTTCACAAAACTCGCTGCCACCCAGGTGACTGCTCCGCTAAGCTCATGGCCACCCTGCCCAGGCAGCCTGCCACCACCACTCAACAGTCCTGAGTCTGGCCCAGCCGCCAGCTCCCCTCATGGTGAGCCCCTCGTGGCCTGGGGAGGGACCGAGAGGTGCTCCATGCACTTAATGGTGACGGGTCACCCGTTCGGTCATAACAGCACCTAGCTCTTTATATATATTAGGATGTGGCAGGTTTATTCACTAGGTTGAAGTCGGTTAGTTTCCTTGATAATTTTAAAGTATGTACATTACTAGATGGGACTCAATTAAGGATGAAAATTATTAGTTGAAAACCATTAAGAAAACTCTCTGGATCACTGGCGTTTACAAAAGCAGGATCCAAGTGATTTGAGTGTCTGGGCCTAAGACACTTAGATTCAAACCTAGAAGAAGGCTGAAAATTATCCAGAGAAGCAGGCAGGGTACATCACCCAAATAACAGAAGGATTCTCCTTTACACTAGGGTTCAAGGTCAGCCTGACAATTCACTCACCTATACACCAACAGGAGATCCCAACTGGCATCGGGAGTCAAGTGCTTGCAGACCATGAGTCCAGAACTTTCCTGGGATGGCACAACAGACCCCTGGAAACCAGGAGATGTGTTTGCTGGTCTTTTCACTCTGCTGCCTTCAGTTACTTCATTCAGGCTAATAGAGCATCCCCTTTTCTTTTTGGTGTCTGACAGCAGCGAACATGTGACACAACCTCATAAAACTTGAATATGGTGAACAGGTCTTTGTTAATTAACCTCACAGCCCAACCCTAAGATCTAGTAGCCATCTTTAAATGCCACAGATTTGAGGGAGAAAATAAACAAATAACTTTAAGACAAGTTGACCTTCTATGGTTTCATTATATGATACAGCCTATAGAAAAGTTCATTCCAACGTCATCATGATCATAGAGAATCACAGAGAGGGAATTCCATATTTGTTTTAAACTTACACACAGAGCAAACAGGTATACAGCTGAGTGAACATAGAATACTAGGCTCCTATGAAAGGTACAAGAAGATAATAACAAGAATAAAATATTCCCACCCTACAGTGACAAATTACAAAGCTTACTTCTGTATCATTACTTTCTGATGGTAAATTATCTATTACCACATTGCAAGCCACTTAATGAGACCAAGTTTTTTTTCATTTCATACTACTGTGGGAATAACAAGAGACAACATAATATTATTTGCTATTATTCAGTGCAGTTCTATTTACATTAAATATCTTATGTCATTTAATATTCACAACTCTATTAGGTAGGTACAGATGATGATATAGTCTCAGATATTGAATACTCTGCCAAAGGTGATACCACTAGTTTTCAGATCATTTTGTCTCTAAGTTGATTATAGATTATGCATAATAAAATTTCAAATAGATGTAAAAGAAGAGAATACAGCCATAAACATTTAAATGGGAAAAAAAGTTTTCACTCACTGCATTAAGATTTTTGAAAACAGAAAAAGCCTACACACTCCAACAAGTTTTGGTATTCTTGCCAAAAAGCAAAGCAAATAGATTCCAACTATACTTCCATTTATATTTAGAATATGAACGGTGTCTGAGTATGTAATGAATATGTGTCTCTGTGTGTCTGTGTGTATAACACCCACATTATTCAAAAGCTCCCAAAAATGTGAAAAGTTTGTTCCAATACTTCTCTATTTTGTCTACTTTAAGAATTCTTTGCAATATGCTTATGTAAATACTGCTTTCAGCTGCTGTTCTCATTTCTCAAATCTTCAGATTATAAATGGATTGGAAAAGTGACAGACCTAAGAAGACATCTTTGGAACACAAAACCAAGGAGATATAAACAAATACAGCTAAGTCAAAACCAAAGGATGCTTCTTTAAACCCTTTAACTTATCCCTACTGATAAATGAAAAGAACTGAAAGTGGGATATACTGGCTGTGGATTAGGGTTGTGTGAGTGAGTGTGTGTGTGTGTACATACACGTGCACATGCATATACTAAGGTGGGTGTCTATTTTATTAGTACACACAATAATCAGCATTTTACTTCAGTTCACCAAAAGCCCTATAGGAGCATAAAAATATAAACAAAAGAAGATTCTGAAGTTAGAGTAATGATGGGGGGAGGGGAGAGTATTTAAGAAAACAGTTCCTAGGTTGTTAAACCCAATAGGTGAGTCCTTGAATTTTCTTATACCAGAATTCACATATGGTTTAATTGCATTAATAGATCATTAACTCTGCAGGTGATCTGCCTCCTTCACGGTTCAAAAATATACTGAAGAGGATTAAAGATACAGTAAAATATCACTATTTTACTTACCAGATGCTGAGCCTTCATACAGACATAAGTAAAGACTATTATGATATAAAGATCAGAAAGCACAGTGCAAAGAATATGTTGGCACTAAACTACTATAAGTTGTGAATATACTATTTCCACTTAGAAATGTGAAACTCAGCAATGTTGAAGTTAGTACCTGAAATTAAGTAGTGCATGTGATTGTGTTGGAATCAAAACTGAAACAGAAGACATTTTTTGATGAGGACTTGGCAATAATATCAATGGATTTTGCACTTTGATAACATAATAACCCGACTATTGGAAACACATTCTAAATAGAGCATTTTTGCCACGGTAAAGAACTGAACATACATCTGGTATGTATCTTCTCCATGTAAGTTAATATTACTACAAAATTTCTTATAAAAGTAATACTAAGAACAATTTTACCAAAATAAGGAAAAACTTCTATACTCATCCAACATTGTGTAAGTGTAAAAACTACTTTAGATTTATAAGTGCAGATTCTTTACTCTTATTGTTAGCAAATAAAAGTAAACATTTCTAGAATCAGAGAGAAAAAAAAGTGACAAAAAAGCATCATAAAATCACTGATTTTTCCAGAGATGCCTTTCTTCTTTCAGAGTGATCACACTGATAAAAGTTTAATATAGAAATTCAGTCTAGAAGTTATCAAGGCCTAGGTTAGTGGCTTTGGCCTCGATTTGCTGAAGAAAGCACAGAGGGAGAATTTAGCTTTTGGAAAAAGAACAGATATTGGCAGTCTCCAGATTTTACTTGGAGCATCTCAACCCACATCCAGCCTGGTGTGAAGAGATGGCAGATGGTATTACTTCTGTTATTTCCACTATTGAAGCATCCTGTTCCTCTCTGCAAGCATGAATATTCAGTCACAATAAGGAACAAGGGCAAGTGTGTGCACTGTATTAAGCAGGTACCAAAATATCTTTATCCTTTTTCTGCTACTATAGATTAATACCAAAAAATCAACATTTAGAAAGTATTACTTCTGCCAAGCTTGAAAAAGAGTTATTTTCTATGATATGATGTTGGCTTTTGTGTACTTTATGTGAATGTATGGAGAAAAAATGCCTGGGCAAAGAATTAGCATTTTATAGGGAAGTAATTAGCATTTTATAAGGAAGAAATGTAAAGGTAACTAAAGAGAATCAATAATTATTTTCCACTTTATTTCATTTTCATGATTCCATTATTTTCTCAGAAAATGCTGAGCTGGCATTAGAGTATCAGTGTTCATCATTCAGATCGCAAATCAGATTCCTTTAAACACCACAACAAACCTCTACACTGGCAGGCTATCCAGTTGTGTAAATAATACTTATTTGTAATTCTTTTCTATTTACACTTAAAAAGGATTATTGAATCCAAAAAGGGTAATTTTGCTATAAATAAATGAAACGCAGAGACCATTTATGAGAAATATTGTGACAATACCTGGATTATGTCACCATGCCCACCTGAAGGAAAGTCTAGAAATAAAATAATATAGCTACATTTGCTAAAATGAGAAGTGTAATGATTGCTGATAGGAAATCTAAGGGCCACCTACCTAGACTGTGAGGTAATATATCCATTAAAACACCACCTCTCATAAAAAAATTTTTTTTAGCCGAAACCGGTTTGGCTCAGTGGATAGACCGTCGGCCTGCAGACTGAAAGGTCCCAGGTTCAATTCCGGTCAAGGGCATGTACCTGGGTTGCGGGCACATCCCCAGTAGGAGATGTGCAGGAGGCAGCTGATCGATGTTTCTCTCTCATCGATGTTTCTAACTATCTCTCTCCCTTCCTCTCTGTAAAAAATCAATAAAATATATTTAAAAAAATTTTTTTAAAGGTGATTCATTGTATGTGTGGTTAAGTTTTTTCAAGAGATTTTGAAATTGAAAACCTCAGTACATATAAATTCCATTCTCCACAGGACACTTGTTGCTAAAAAAACAATCATGTGGGAGAGGTGGCATGAGTCAGTCAGCTTTCCCTGTTCCCCTTCCACTGCCAGGTAAAGGGCAAAGTTCCCACAAAAGACAAAGACAGCTCAGACTGACCGATGACCCCCTAGGGCCCAGCAAGTCACTTATTTTAAGAATGAAACAATTCTTAATAAAAGGATGCATATCAGTCTGCTCTTTAGGACTGACAGGGGATTTCTTAGCTCTTTTTCACACTCTAATGAGCATACATTGCAGAAGTAAATCAATGCCAAGGCAAGGCACACGTGTGGAAGTTGAGATACACTTACGAAGTAGCCTGTTCCCAAACTGGAAGGAGCTGAACTCTGCAATAAAGCATAGAGACAAAGTGGAAAATCAGCAATGGTTTTTAACACGTTCCAATCCACACAGCTCATTACCAGCCCTCTGCAGGCTTTTCATCACTACATCACACCACCAGGGTATGCTGCCCCTTGTCATCTGCTCCTGATACAAACACCGTGTTGCTTAATTTTCCCCTTTACATCTCTCAACAACTCAGAGATGCTAACGTGCTATTTACTGAATTCCAAGCTTCTGCGGTGGACGTAATTGCCAATTTATTTGACAGGCAGCTGGGTAATGAATTAATGATGGCATTTCGCCCTGCACGGAGACTAAACAGACACACATCAGCCTGCCTCCCTGACTTGCTGACATTCAATGCCCTGGTCTCAAGCTACTCGGTTTTGTGGCCGCAAAGGGGCAGGCAAGAGGAAAAAGCCCAGACTGACTTGAAAATAAAAAGCCCAGTGGGTCTGGATGACTTTTCCAGCGTATGACCTACTTGCCGGTTTATTCCCTGAAGGCACCAGTTAGTACACACAGAGAGCTTTTCAAAAATGAGACATTTTGTAAACATAATTAGTAGACTAAAATGCAAAGAATGTGTGAGTAAAGGAAAGCAGTAAAATGCACCATTTTTCTCAAGGTTTTAGGCTCCCATAGTCTGACACATGGAAACTAAAGAACAATAATTCTAAAAGGTATGTAAGGGCATCACTGCTTTGGGGAAGGAGGCCATACAAAGAACTTGGTTTGTGTTTGAGACTTGTCTGTGATTCTTTCTTGTATGTATGTTTCTCACCCCCGCCTCCCCCCAAAAATCTCAGTACAAATTCTTTAATTTTCTCCTGGCAGGTGTGCTTAGTGGTTAGAGCATCAGCCCTAGCACATAAGGGTCCTAGGCTGGATTCCAGGTCAAGGGCAGGTACCTCGGTTGCAGGTTAGATCCCTGGTCCCTGGGGTGCATGCAGGAGGTAATCAATCCATGTGTCTCTCTCACATCTCTCTCTCTCTCTCCCTCCCTCCCCTCCCACGCTCTCTAAAAAATAAAAACCAATGGAAAAAATATCCTAGGGTGATGATTAATACCAAAAACATTTCTTTACTTTTTAGTATCCTCTATTTGAACAACAGAGGTCCCAAGTAAGCCTGAAACAAAAAGAATGCTAATGCTTAGGTAGTCTTCAAATCTCAGCTCAGGGTTCTTGCAGAATCAAGGCCTTCTCCCTGACTAGTTTGGGTGGGGTGTTATGCCTTCCCAGCAGTGACCTGACTTCCACTCTGATGTATCAGTTGCTCAATTCACCTGTAGTTCCTCCACCTAATTGTTCTGTGCCTGCTCTGCAAACTATAGGTAGCAGGAATCATCTGGTTTACTCATAATTGCTTCCCCAGAGCTTATTACAATACCGATGCGTTTTTTAAAAGTATTTGTTGAACTGATGTACATATAAATGAATGTACTTATTGTATGTTGGGGGGAAATGATAAATGCAGTATCTGCAAAAATACAGTGTGTTTCTACTTAATCTTAAACTGTTTCTGAGAAGGAAATACAGTACTGTCAGTACAAACAGCATTAGTAACAAACAAAGTTAATATGCTCTAGGGCATTCCTAAGTGCAGCTCCCAAAGCCAAACTTTCTTCACCTCCATGTTTCAGACAAGCTCAGGGGAATCACAGATGGCGGATGTGTGATCTTGCACACTGGCCTTGCTTTATAAAAATCCTGCTGCATTCTTGATCCCATAAATGGTACATAGGGAGATCCACAGTAGCCATGGAGACGGCTTCTCCAGCAGTGATTAGCCATGTGACAGCATCACCTGCTTTCAGCACCCAGAGCCTTCCGTGGAGCAGAGGAAAGCAAAAACCAGGTTAGGTCTCCACCAGCCTGTAGTCATGCCCCTGGGAGGTTAAATCATCTTAGGATGAATTACTCAAAGAAAACATGGAATTTGTTTATTTCAGGGTTTTTTTCTTCCTGCAAATATTATTTTATCCCAGAAGTACCCCTCCAAACCCACTCCTCCCCCTTACCCCCCCCCCCCACATCATCTTATTGTATACCAAAGAAAATTACATACTTCAGGTCTCAGAAAGCTCTGTTATACTCATTTTGCATATATATTGTACATTACTCAGGGAGCTGGGTGGAGGAGAGGGCTTTGTTGTGCATATTTGTTCTGGCTATTGTTTATGCAGGTCTGACTGAATGAGGGAACAGTGGGTATCATTTCAATTTCTGATGTCAACATCAAATTACTTATTTAATTTCATGCCTGGCGAAGCATTGTATAGCTACACGCAGAATCATTTCACTTCATTTGTTATGCTGTGTTTTCATGGTGATTGGCTTGCCTTCCAACTGACAGCTTTAATTACGACATGAATTTGATTGCACTGCCGAGGAATTAACATAATGCAACAAAGCATTTAAGGACCCTGCCTTATAACAACCCTACCCCCTCCACACACACACACAAACACGTCAGACACATAAACACCGATACTAGACCCTCATGTACATTACAGGTCCACTGGAGTTGCGGGGCTTGCTAGAAAGCATCAGAACCTTAGACTCAGAGGCTACCCACATTCTCCAACCCACTGTAGGAAAAGATTTGTGGTATTAACTTGTGATTTCTGGACCTGGCAGAAAACTTTGTAGAAAAATTCTCCTGGTTTAGTTTGCCAAATATCCATGATACTGACATTTCCTACTCTCTTACATCCTTCCCCACCATATTTTTCTTGGCCAATTGCCAGCTCCCTTCAATCATTGCTAAATGAATCTGAACAGAAACATCTCTGAAATATACAGATTACTCTTTTTCTACTTCTACTTTCCCAAAGAATAAGACTATGGCTTTGTATTCAGTGTGGCACCACCCCTTGTAGCTAAAGGAATCTCCACCATCAGATACAGGTGACAAATTCTGAGGCCAGCAATAGAGTAGGGGTCTGTTTCACTGACAGCTGACAACACACATCACATGCCCAAGGCCTTGCTATCCAAAAGTCCCAGAAGAGCCTTGGTCATGTATGCCTAATCTAAGTCTGCATCCAAATATAGCTGCAAAATATTTGTTAGCAGTAACATTTTTCCAAGTCAGGAATTCCATGAATATCATAAATCATGGGCAACAACAGATTAAGCTACAAAAATGCAATGCTTATAAATACCTTTTTATTTGAAAGATGTTACATTAGTTATACAATTACAGGTGTGCACTTAGGGATTGGTGCTGCTTTTTTATGTTAGAGAAGAGACAGACACCAAGGCATAAAGGCCTAACCCTGACCACTGAACCATTTGATGAAATAAAGTTGATTTCAACAAATTCTAATGAGAGGAGGGGTCTTCTGTTTTTCTTACAAAATGTCCAAACTATATAGCAAAAATATCCATAAAATCCAGAAAAGCCTATGAATCAAACTGAGGCTTGAAAAGGGACATGTTTTTAAAAATGCAACAAACAAAGGCATACAACAGCATCTGAAATGATAGCATGCATTCATGTTTAGGCAAATACTTCCTTCATTCATATTTCTTCAAGTGGCAGACTTGCCAATTCATTCATATTTTCAATGCAGTAGGTAGAAATTAGAGGAAGAGAGAGACTGAGAAAATAGAGTAGGAGAAAGTGTTTAGCAGTTTGCATGAGAAGACGAAAGTATCAGAAAACGCCAGCTAGCTGACTGTGTGATATGCGATTTCTGGGCTTATTAGAAGCCATCTCCTGTTTAACATGTTTTTTCATTCTGCTGTGTGTTTTTTTGTTTGTTTGTTTTGGGTTTTGTTTTTGTTTCTGTTTCGGTGTTTTTTGCCAATTGACCACTGCTCTAGCTATCTCTGCAAATTACATACCTCGATCTCATTATGTTGCAAAGGAGAGCTTTCTTACAGACACACTCTGTCTGGTTCAATCTCCAAGCTACCATGGGCTGCAGGAATTGTAATAGGATGCACAGTTGAAAGACATTTTCCAGGAGGGAGAATGTTGCTGCTGACATTCAAGTCTGCAAGTGGATATTCATTAAATGCTCATTCTACTCTTTCTCACTGCCCCCCACCTGACTTTCTCTCCATCTCTGTCACTAAGCTATCCTTGAAGCTACTCATTAAAGTCATGAAGTTAACATTTCTGTGTTAACAGCTTACCTACAACAAGGGATTTCAAAATTGATTATCCATCTAAAATAGATGTGCTCCATTCATTAGAGATCTACACAGAGAGGCCACGGCTACTATTACAGCTCCCTGAGTATGAAATGGATGTGTGCTCCACCCGGAGATGAGATATGTGCTCTGACCCTAGGGCTAATTTAAATAGAATATTTAAAATTGTTCCAAATCACCAGTTGTGTCTGACATTCCTGCCTACCCACCTCCATGGTAATGCTTTTCTCTCTTGGGAGTAAGGAGCATAAGGATCACGGCCAAGTACATTTCTTGCAAAGGTCAGGAGACAAGCTCATTTGTGGATTTCCTGTAGTGTTTTAGAAAATAATGACAATTAAAAGAACCTGAAATCTTAATCCTAAGAAATGTATCTTGGGGATACAATTACTAATAGCCGATAAAGACGCAAAATAAGTGTATCTGAATGGGAAAATGAGCTACTAGGAAAATTCAAGTAAAAATGGAAAAGGGACGACAACTTGAAAACAAGCATCAGGTATGATGAATATGGTCACTGCCACCTTCCATTTTCCAACCCTTGGCTATAACCCACTCCAAGGTGTCACCAGCTCTCAACTATACTCAACAACCTTTATGGCTTTTTGTTTTTTAATTTCATTCTTTATCTGTAGTTTTTCATATAAAAGCCAAAGCAAACATTTTAAAGTAACAATGATAACAACACTCCTTTTAATATCTTCCAGAGGCTTTTAAAATAGTAAATCATCTAGGGTGAACAGTGTCCCCTTGATTGTGAGGGTTAATTTTACCTAGGCTACTGGGTATCATGATAGTTGGTCAAACTATTCTGGGTGTCACAGTGAGGATGTTTTTGGATGAGCTTAGCATTTAAATAGACTGAATAAAGCATACTGCCCTCTCCCTAATGTGTGCGGTCTTCAGTTTAATAAAACAAACAAACAAAAATCAACCTCAGAATAGGAGGGAATTCCTCTGTCCGACTGTCCTCTAGCTGTAACAACAGTGTTTTCCTGCTTTCAGGCACAAACTCGAAGAAACACTGACTCTTCCTGGGTCTCAAGCATTCCGGCCTTTGGACTGGAACTAACCACCAGCTCTCCTGGGTCTCCGGCTTGCCGACTGCAGATCTTGAGATTGTCAGCCTCCATCACTGTATATGTCCATACATTCCATTAGCTCTGTTTCTCTTTAGAGCCCTGACAGAATGACCTTGTTTAGAAATAGGATCCTTAAAAGATGCAGTCACACTGGATGAAGGTGGGCCCTAAAGCCAATGACTGCTGGCCCTCTCCAAGAGGGAAAGGCACACAAAGCTACAGACAGAACAGAAGGCCATGTGAAGACAGAGGCAGGCACTGAGCTGACAGAGTTAAGAGCCAGGAGCACCGAGGACGGCAGAGCCACCAGCAGCTGGAGAGGAAGGAAAGGATTCTTCTCTAAAGCTTCAGCAGGGATCACAGACCTGCTGACACCTTAGTTTTGGACTTCTTGCCTTGAAAACTATGAGATAATCTATTTCTTTTGTTTGTTTTAAACCACTCACTTTGTGGTCACTCATTACAGCAGCCCTACAAACTAATGTAATACCTCGCCTCCTTACCATAGGCGGGGAGGGGAAACAGAGTATCGGCGGTCCTTCCCAGGTCTGGATTGGATTCTCTTCTTAAACACAGAGACACTCACTGCTGGTGCAGCCAGTATCTGTTTCTCCCCTAACAGTGGAGGGTAAGTATGTGATCAGCCCCTGTGTTCGTTCACCGCACTCGAGCCAACCAGCCTTTTCTTTCCCTCAAACATGTCACGCTTGCTTTGACTTAGGGCCTTGAACTTGCTGTTTTTGTGGCCTGGTGTGCTTTTCCTTCAGATCTTCACAAGGTGCTCAGGCTTTTCTTCATTCAGGCTTCAGCTCAATGTCACCTACACAGAAAGGACTAATCCAATCTCCCTAGTTAAAACAGCAACAGGCACCCTTCCACCTTCCATCGCTGTTTTGTTTACCTCATTAAATGTATCATATCAGAAATAATTTTATTGTTTGCTCACAGGCGTGTTTTTGCCTCCCCCGATAGAATGGAAACTTCACAAGGGCAGTGACTTCATCTTGTTCACCATTCAGCCTCAAGTGCCCAGAATTATACCTGGCACCTAAAAGGTACCAATAAGGATTTCTGGACAATCAAAACACTGACAATTCTAAGAAAACACACATATATATGGTATAGGAAAGGGAAAGGCATACATAAACTTTTAGGGGGAAAATATGGCACAAATAAAAATAAGAGAAAAAAGGAGAAATAAAATATCAAAAATCCTCCAAAGGTCTGGGTTAGATGTATTTCCTAAACTACAAAAAAGCTCATTGATGGTACTGTCTGTTCTGTTTCTTCCTTACAGTGGCTAGCAAAACTTTCATAAAGGTTTGAGAAGAGGGTAGGAAGAAAAGAGGATAGGCTAGGTGCTTGCATCGATGGATGAAATATGGCATGGTGGGGCAGATAAGTCAATAAAGCCCTCCAAACTGGGAAGAAACTGAAGAAATAATCAACTTGATCATGGTAAATGAACTAAAAGACTACACAGAACAGTCACACTAGAGAACTGTTTAGCACAAGACTTATGAGAATTCGATCCCTTTTCACTATTCTCTGGAATGTTTTAATTCCTTCAAAGTTTTGAACACTTAGAAAGTATTAAATATATTTCTGCCCTCAGAGCACTCAGTCAAAAGATCTCAATAACTGTGTAATACTATGCTCTTGTCCACTGACCTAATGTGGCTTTCATTTCTCTGCTCTATGATGAAATTGGGACTACTAACTAATCCTGTAAAAACTTCCAGTGTCAATAAGATCTTATATTTAAAAAGAATATCTTAGCCCTAGCTGGTCTGGCTCAGAGGATAGAGTGTCGGTCTGTGGACTGAAGGGTCCCAGGTTTGGTTCCAGTCAAGGGCACATGCCTGGGTGGCTGGCTGGGTCCCCAGTAGGGGGCATGCAGGAGGCAGCTGATCAATGATTCTCTCTCATCATTGATGTTTCTATCTCTCTCTCCCCTCTCCCTTCCTCTCTGAAATCAATATATATATATATATGAAAATCTCAGAAGAACAGCTCCTTGAGTATTAAGTATTGTTGTTAACAACATAGGTAAGAATATACTGTTATAGTTTTATTATTTTAATTTATAGTGGTATCACAAAATTAATGAAATATAAACAAAGAAATATTCTTATCCACTCATACTCATAGCAAAGACTGAGTGAATTGACATTATTCAATATTAAAAGGGGAGGAAAATATCTATAATTAAGATATTAAGAGTACTATATAAATCATTATACTTTTTTATTTCACTTAATTCTTGTAAGAATTCAACGTTGCATGCATCAACTATTACCCTAAATCTCACAAACTTTCCTGAGAGGTGTAGGAAGGTGGCTGGTTTTTGTAGTTGTCCACCTTCGCTGGTGGAGAAGTAAGTAGATGGGCGATTTTTATAGGAATGACTCAGTGTACTACAATGGTCTCCAAACTTTCATGCTTATGAACACTTCTCAGTAAAAAGCTTTGAGCACATTTCAAAAATGTTTATAAGTTATAGAAACAAACTACTCCATGATTATTAAATTGGGTATTAGCAAAGTTTAATTTCTTTTTCAGACAAAAAATAAATATGTACTAACACTTAATACACTAATCATCGAATACACCATAATGAAGAAACTCCTTTGGAGCATAAAAAAGAAGAAAACAAGAGGCAATGGGTTTGCCCCTATTATACATCCTAACTCTGCTGCTTCTTGAAACTCAAGGAAAGAATTGCTGCCTTCTTAAGAGTATTATCTCACTCTGTTAATGTTTCTGTGTTGGTATCAATAATAAAATTTCCTATATACTTGATCTATTTTACAAGAAAGTTTCCAAGTTGCTCTCAGGGGCAAAGATGGGTTAGAAATCGTGTTATATGACATGTTGGGGAAGAAGGCTAGAGTGTCCGAGAGGGCCCGGTGGTGCTGGGAAGTGGTAAAGGGGAATCAGGCCTCTTGGTGGGGGGAGGATGGAGAGCTGACAAGTCCTTCAAGAGGCACTGTGTGTTCTCACAAGGGTTTCTCCCCCAGAAATAGGCAGTGCTACCCCGGGGAGATGACATCATTTAACTCTGGGCTATTTGTAATTTCTTCACTCATGAGAATGGTTATAATCCCTTTCTGCGATTTTATTTCTGTTAGGAGGGGTGACTAACAAGCCAATTACTTGGCAAGAGAAGGAACTGAATTTCCTGACTGTTTCTGAGGTGACAAATACTCCCTCCTACCTTATATTTTGTTAAAACACATTTTAGGTCAAACTAGAAAATGGAATGACACAGTAATGCAAGGCTCAACCATGTGTACATGAAGAAAGGGTGAACTTATACTTGGATATACAAAGTGATATGAAGTGTAGAAGACTTTACCCAAGGGATGTAAGGTTTGGTGGTTCTGTTTGATTTCTTTTTAAATACTCACATCGCTGAGTCTTTCCCGAGAGCTGCTCCTGTGGAAACCCTTGGATTCTCCACTGGCGCTTTCACTGTCACTGTCCCTGCAGCTGTTCTGTCCTGGCTTGAGCTAAAGACAAAAGAAAAGAGAAACAAGAAAAGAGTCAGCGTTCTCCCCTCACAGGATTGTTGCTTTGCCCCTGTCTGTAAGCCTCATCAGAAGTGAATAACTTTAAGTCTTGATCTTAAACATTCTTCTCGGTTTCTGAATACTGTCAGGCAAGTTGCCATAGAGAGAAACACAGAAGGAAGGATAAGCAAAACATTTCCCATAGAATGCTGATGTGGATAAAAGAGTGAGCAAGCCTCAAATAAACACTTGAAAAGTGTAACAAGGGTCCATAAATCTTAGAAAGTAATCTTCCCTCAAAGTCTTCCTCTGGTTCATTGTGATTGTTGGTCAAAAATAAAAAGACCCAGAACACTGGCCGGATTACACCAACTGTAATTTCCCACCTTGTTTCTCCTGTCCTCTTCTAATAAACAATAGAACAGGAGAAAAACCAAGGCTTTCCCATCCTAGGAGAAAATGATGAGATGCTGGGTGCTATCCGTAACCACTGGGAAGACACTTAATAATCCTGTTTGTTGAAACAACGTTCTGGAGGTCTCCTGCTTGATATATGAAAGTCCCAGGTTAAGACATACAGTTTAAGAAAATTAAGCCAGCACTCATTCAACAAACAGGTATTAGGTCCACAACTGGGCCTGGTAGTAAGCATTAGAGATATGGTGACAAACAAACAAATAAAAAAGTCTCTACACATTTATGCATCTCTGGTTTTCCAATAAACGAGTCAAACACATAAGGAAGATCGGTCTGTCTATGATGTCATCACCAACCAAATTTGCAGAAATCCCAAGCAATTTGATGAAGGTTACAAGACACAGCCCCTTTACAATGTGCTCAATCTAGCAAATGAAATAAAGTGCAAGACATGTAAGTATAACCATACAAGAAAATACTTGCTAAATGAAAACCAAAAATTAGCCAGTGACCACCGAGGAAAGTGATTTTTGAAGCCATCGAGTTTGAAAGAGGACTGAGCTCAGAGGATTTGGCTGAGAGGAGAGAAGACAATCCTGATAGGAGAAAGGCAGAAAGCAGAGGCAGGGAAAGTGACTTGCCAGGAAAGGATTCAGGTCTTCTCAGAAACAGAATGAGAAGACAGATTTGGGGAGAAACTAGAAAGAAATCTTAGAGAGGGGTGCATGGACCAGAACATGGATAGTCTCAATCAAAGCAAAAGTTACATTTTTCTGGGAAGGAGGGAACTTCTGAGAGCAGAACAGATAACGGGTAGTAAAACGTTTATCTGCAGGTTTTCATATGGCTCTGGGGCCAAGGGATAAGATGAACAAAATGAACAGAGACTGAATCTGTATTACATTTCTGTATCTTTAATGTGCTTCTTTAAAGACTGAAGTGCAGACCCCACATTTTAAAAAATGTTGTTATTGATTTTTAGAGAGACAGAGGGAGAGGGATAGAGAGAATGAAACATCGATGAGAAAGAAACATCTATCAGCTACCTCCTGCACTTATTGGGGACTGAGCCTGCAACCTGGGTATGTGTCCTGACCAGAAATTCACTTGTGACCTCTTGGTTCATGGGTCGATGCACAACCACTGAGCCATACCAGCAGGGCCAGACACCACTTTTGATCATACCACCTAATTAGATATTTCCGGATTCCCCACTATGTAGAGCATTCTTTTTAGCTTTCATACTTTCTACAAATCCACTTTTTTTTAAAAAAAATCCTCACCCAGGACAAGTTTTTTCATTGATTCTAGAGAGAGAGAAAGGGAGAGGGAGAAAGAGAGAAACATCAATGTGAGATAGAAACATCAATCAGCTGCCTCACACATGGGCCCCAACCAGGGATTGAACCCACAACCTGGGTATGTGCCCTGACTGGGAATTGAACCCGTAAACCTTTGGTGCATGGGACAATGCTCTAATCACACAGCAACTCCAGCCAGGGCTCTACAAATCCATTTTTATCATTTCCTTCTAAACATTATTCTCCAGAAGTCTTCTCTAATGGAACCCTAAAAGTGATGCTAATTCTGCTTTGTATCCCCCTCAGCCTTTAAGTATTTCGTCTCCTCCTAAGTTATTGCTAAACTTGCTAATTTCTCAGTTAATCCAGATGCAAGCTCTATGAGCCTTTCTTATTACTATGGAATATAAGTTCAGAATATTGTCATTCTATTCAAGTATTCATTTTAATACTTGTAATAAAAGAGGATTTAATCTAATATGAACATCACTTTCTCGAACAAGCCATGTCCATTTCTGTTCTCCACTTTTTCACACTGGATTTCCTCTTTCTGGCATGCTCATCCTCACATTCTCTGTGCTCTTCAGGCCAAGATTTTTTTTTAAAGCTCATAGATAGTATATCCTCCACCATGGTCTTTGAAGAAATCTTTCTTTATAAATTCATTTTTTAATATATGCCCTCACAGTTAGCTAGCATAACATTCTATCATATATTTTCATGTTTAAAGCAGACTACTATTAAATAAGTTTGCACTGATGATAAAATCGGTATGTGGAGAGGCCCCCTTAATTTATAAGCAATTTCAGAAATCTCACCTCACTGGATCTCTAAGATAAACAAACATAGGTAAAGGTACCTCCAATGTGTAGATGAAGAAACAAATAAAACCAGAGATGTGCTGAGAAGTAGGCATGAAATCTAGAACTAAACCCATGTCTCCACTGCCTACTGCTCACTTCATTCAAATCTTAGTGCCCATTTATTTTTTTTTAAATATGTTTTTATTGATTTTTCAGAAAGAGGGGAAGGGAGAGGGATAGAGAGAAAGAATCATCGATGAGAGAGAAAGATCGATCGGCTGCCTCCTGCATGCCCCCCTAATGGAATGGAGCCCACAATCTGAGCATGTGTCCTGACCTGGAATGGAACAGGGACCTCTTGGTTCCTGAGTTTACGCTCAACCACTGAGTCACACCAGCTGCACCTTAGTATGCATTTAGGTATTTACATTTAACATGGAAATAATGAGTCTGCAGTATGTTATTATCTCCATAGAATATATTCTAAATACATCTTTAGTACTTGGCTACATTCACAAGAAAGAACTCTTATAAGGTGATACCTGATCAAGAGATGTTTATAAAAACTCAGTCCCCCAACTAAGATGAAAAATAAAGGGTATCAGGGTGTGAAGACTTTTTCTAATATCTAACTAGCTTAGCAAACTGTGGACTTTGCATATGGATCTTTTCCATGTTTTTGCGCGGAAGGAAAATGATGCAAGGCCCAATAAGAGACTCCAGTGGACTTGACATAAATTATCTGACTAACTGTTGATCTGGGCTAAGGGCAAAACTCAAGAAGAACTGAGATGAAGCCGTTTGCTAGTCTTCCCTGCGCCCTGCCAGCAAAAGCACTTCAGTGAATTTTCTTGGGAGAGTCTTACAAAAAATCCACCCCTACACTACCCCTTTCTCCTCCAAGCCAGCCAGGCTCAAGTTTAAAGGAAACTTAGGATTTTAAACTGTCAGACAGCTCAATATTTCAAGGAAATGGATTGACTATAGTAAGTACTAAAGCTAAACCACATGATTTCAGGCAAAAGAAGTATTCACTCTTAATCCCATGAATATATTTAAAACTGGCATTTTCAGCCATATCCAATGGATCATTTGGGGTAGCATAACTAACTCAAAAGTTGTAATCCTTCACCTGAAATTCCCAGCTATTTCCTACAACCAAGAGACATTACAAAGGCCAGGTGTTGGCTTAAACATTTAAAGGCCTAAGAAAAATCAATCTGCTTACATTGATTTGTCCTAGCATCCATGGCGGCTCTGTTATAAGAAAGCATTGCTCTAACTGATGCAATGAGTTTTCTTACTATCAGCCTATAAATACTTCAACACCTCGTTTATTTGAAAATTACTGTAATTCACTCTCTAGTTCCAGAACTTTCTTCCCATCAGAGGAGTATATATTTCAGTCACCAGTATTAAAACAAACGAGACAAAATGAAAGGATACTAATGTCTGGCATGAGTGGCAGTAATTATATCGGTAAGATTAATATCTTTTATAAAATGAAGCCATTTCGTTTTTCATTAGATTTCACTGTCAACAATATATTCTCCACACTCTGAAACTGTGATCTCGTTACAGACTTAACTGTTATTAATGGCTAATTAGGAAAATAACGATCCATGGTTTTATCACTGCTAATGAACATATAACAAAGTCTCATCTCCCTGGACTGAGTGAAAGGTAGAGCAATTCTGCACACATCTGCCAAGATTTGTGAGCCGGGCTATGATCATTCTTTTCAGCTTGAGTATGGAGAGTTCCAGCAAGATTCTAGCTGCTCAGCAGGTGTCATTAACCCTTCAAGCAAAATTTATAGGAGAATAAAGTATGTAGAGAAGATGTCGATGCCTGGAACTCCCGAGGAATGATGTAAATTATGCAGTGTAATACAGAAGTTCATCCAATTATGCAGTGCAATGCAGAAGAGCATTCCACAGTTTCAGTTCCTCAAAGTGGCATAAATCCTATCTCAGACTGCTGAGTTCTCCTGTAAGGATCTAAATAAATTCTATATAAGGTTTTTAAAATGTGTCAATAAGCACAGAATTTTCTCTTATTCAAAGAAATTTTGAAATACACCTTCATTAAAACAGTAAGAATTTAATCTCATAAATTTTTTTTCCAAAAAATAATTGTCCACAATGGGGAGGGTTTAATAGATTGGGTGGCATCTGTACTATTTTATTCCTTAGGCTTTAAAAAGTATTTCAGATGAGATATAGAGAACCAAACTCAAGAACTTAACGATAGCTCGGCTGGCATGGCTGAGTGGTTGAGGGTCTATCTATGAACCAGGAGGTCAGGTTTCGATTCCAGGTCAGGGCACATGCCCAGATTATGGGCTCAATCTCCAGTGTTGGGTATGCAGGAGGCAGCTGATCAATGATTCTCTTTCATCATTGATGTTTCTATCTCTCTCTTCCTCTCCCTTCCTCTTTAAAATAAATAAAAATATTTTTAAAAATGAAAATTATAA